GCCTCCAGGTTGCCACGCTGGGAGAAGATTTTAGAAAATAAGGCTTTGTCCACTCTCATGATTGTTAAACAACACAATAAATGATGTCTCCAAATGGCGGACCATGTTGTCAAAACAATTTTTTCCATACCTGTCCCTTGACGGCGTCAATCTCTGATGTCAGTCTCTGGATCATGCGGTTCAGGTCTGCAATCTCTGTCTTGGTAGCCCTCAGGTCATCTCCATATCTGCTGGCGGATGTCTGTATCTCTTCATACTAAAAAAACATCAGCAAAACAATATTACTAACTGGAAACCCTATTTATGAGATTACTTAATGTACAGATGATGGTCAATAGTCGGTCCCTGCTTATCTGAATGGATCTATCTCGGCTTGGGTGGCTGACACTGACTCATGATTTAAATATTAATCTGTCTATAGCAATGGCAAGAAGGGTTTTCAATACAAACTATTATAATGTAAGGATAGGAACCATTACCTTGGTCTTGTACCATGTCTCTGCCTCTGCGCGGCTGCGGTTGGCGATGTCCTCATACTGAGCCTTGACTTCAGCCACAATGGAGTCCATGTCCAGGTTGCGGCTGTTGTCCATCTCCACAATGACTGAGGTGTCCTTGATCTGGCTCTGGAGCTCACGCAGTTCCTGAAGTACAATAAAAAAGAAGGATAGAAATAATAGAGATTAGCCGCCTCGCTGAGGAAACCCATCCAGCTCATGTATTTCCAGCAGTACAAGAGGCGAGTCAAGATGTTCACCAGATGCTGAGAAGTTGCGGGAAACTGACACCACAAACATCATAGGCATGATATGACTGGATCAATAAATCACAAATAATGCTGATGAATGCATCAAGTGGTTTGAAGGTTGGCAGTTTTAAAGCCAAGAGGGAAATTAGAGAAACAAACAACGCCACTGAGCTGATTATGTGCCATACCTCCTCATAGATCGACCTCAGGAAGTTGATCTCATCTGTCAAACTCTCCAGCTTGGCCTCCAGCTCAACCTTGTTCATGTAGGCCTCATCGACATCCTGGAACCAATAACAATGCATGTTAGTATGAGACATTACACAGAAGTGACATAATCTACAGGAAAAACACGATTTAAAATATATTATTTATTATTTAAGTGCTAAAAGAAAGTTCAGACAGGGTATAAACTCAAAGACAAATGATGATGCTGACCTTCTTGATGAGGACGAAGTCATTCTCACACTCTGTGCGCTTGTTGATCTCATCTTCATACCTGAGAGGAACAAAATACAGTTCATGGTCAGAGTCTCTTGTGGCTGTGTCAGAGAGTTTATACAGTAATGTAACACTAGGAGGCGCAGGTAGTCCATCTCTAACTCTTGAACTCATTTGGGACATTTGCCTCGCACAGTTTCTGTTGACTCAGCGCCAAGTGTGAGAGGTGTTACTGATCTTCCTCCCTCAGGACTCCCCTGACCTCAGCCGATATGATCCATTTGTCTCCGGACAACTGATAAATATGTGCGGCACCATTGTACCTGTTTGTGTTGGAGACATGTGCATGTCAGCATGCGCATGCTTGTGTCCACTTGTGTAAAGCTAGAGGCAGCTTTTCTGACAGCCAACTCTGTAAAATGTTTTTTACCTCGAGTCATATGTAATGTAATGTGAACATGCTTCCTCAGTGTTGTAATTCCCTAGAGTTTGTATGACGCAAGACAATGGACAGATGTGGGGAGTAGTCCACACAAAGATTAACTCATGGTACTGCAAGGCACAACTCCTGAACTGTTGTACAGTGATACTGATGTAAGAAAAAGCTGACCCTGCATTGATTGATTGATTTTTTTTCATCCCCCCACCCTTTGCCCCTTCCACACTCACTTATTCTTGAAGTCCTCGACCAGGCCTTGCATGTTGTGCAGGTCAGCCTCCAGCTTCATCTTGTCGTTGCCCAGGCTGTCAAGCTGTCTGCGCAGGTTGGAGATGTAGGCCTCAAACATGGCGTCGATGTTGGAGCGGGTGGTGGTCTGTCCCTGCAGCAGGTTCCACTTGGTCTCCAGCATTTTGTTCTGCTGCTCCAGGAAGCGGACCTGGTGTGAAAGAAGCAGAAATAAGGAGAAAATTATGGTTATTTGTTAGGGTCATTAGGAATGAATCAACAAAAAACCTTTACGAAGAATCAGTGACTTACACGCTGGTTTACTATGACAAAAATGTGAAGATATCATTTTTATGATATTCCCTTTAAAAGTATGATGTAACTGCTGCTTGCCCTGCCCTGACGTAACATCACCTCTGGGTTAACATCCTAATAATCAATCATCAGGATCAACCTCGCTTTGCCTCTTGTTCACATACACTCTACAGTCTTTGTTGTTCTTATCTATCTTTGGAGCTTTGTAAGCTGCTGTTGGCTGTGTTTCCAGACTGGCCATGCTTTTTTCCAAAGGAAGGCCTGACGTACGTGCATCCTGACAGGAGGTGGAGGGGAGGGAGACAAGGTCGGAAAAAGCCAGTGATGGAGGAATAGAGCTGGTTAACCCTTCTCCTGCATGTCTTCCTGTTTTTGTACAGGGCGGTTCGCAGCCAAAGAGAACAAATACATCGAGAGAAGTGGGTGAAGCCAAGTTGCATCCCCAGGCAAATGCAGCAAGGTAAATATTTAACTGTGTTATAGATGTGATGAGAGAGGAAAATGGAGTATAAAGTCAGGGAGTGGTGGGGAGAGGAAATGAGGATGATTTATTAGCTGAAGGGAGGGGGGGTGGAGGTGGAAGGCAAAAAGGTGGAGAGTTTGCATACTTGTGAACAATAAAAGCAAGGTATAGCAAAAGCAGATATGTGACTCCATGGACCTTGCTCCCTGACACTTTGCACTCTACAGGTGAGCTCTAACCAAGAACCTCTTATGGTCTTCATTTAAACTGGAGTAAATACAGATAACAAAATGCCTCAAAATGGACCTCCACCATAAGATAACAGACGATAGTGTGGAAGTTCATCTGGTTTGTGTTGAAGCATGCAAATTCACTTTATCTTCTTTTAATCATTGCGCTGGGAGAAGGAGAGTTGATATGCAGCCAGTCAGCTGGCTTTGGCCTGAACATGAAACCAACTGGCCTTTTTAAATATTAACCCACTGCTGAGGCCTCGGAGGACACACACATACACCCGGGTATTACATAAATGCTGGACTTAAATGCTGATCGCAATGATTAAAAGTCAATCTATTCATACTCCCAGTGGACACTCCTTTTCAAATGTTACACCGTGAAAGGTGGTATTGTCATTAAGGTAACAATAGGACAGTCAGTGCTGACTGTGTGTGTGTGTGTGTGTTTGGGAGGGGTGGGGGCCACCAGGGCAGCAGAAAGAGCCACACCCGAACTAAGGGAGGGACCATTCCCAAGGTAACTCATATCACAAGCCCTGACACACCCTTTGCTTTCTTTCTCTCTCTTTCTTTCTCTCTCTCTCTCTCTCTCTTTGTCTTTGTCTTTCTCACTCTCCTTTCTGCCAGTCTGTTTTTCATCACTATAAAAGGGCAGCCTTAGCCAAAAGAGCAAGAGCATAACACTGAGTTTGAGTTGCAGCATATTCATTTTTTTCATTTGTGGGAGGTGACGAAAGCTGAGAGGGGAATAAAATAACTTTCTCCACGCAGCAAAGAAAGCAGATATCAGCATTCCATGACATGTGGCAAACATATGGGCCTCTCTATCAAATATTGCATAACAATGTCAGAGAAATGTTCAGCTTTTTGACTCCACTGGGTCTGAGCTCTCCACCCACCTCAAACATCTGTTTGAATGGGAAGTTTAAAGCAAAAACTTGGGCAACATGAACATTTGACCCACACACACATGTATCTGCCCTCTATTACAAGCTCTTACCTTGTCAATGAAGGAAGCAAATCGGTTGTTGAGAGTCTTGATCTGTTCCTTCTCCTGGGTGCGGACCACTTGAATGGCGGGGTCAATCTCGAGGTTCAGGGGGGCCAGCAGGCTCCTGTTCACAGTCACGGCGGTGATGGGGGCCTGAGCAACCATGCCACCGCCGTAGCCTCCACCCATGCCACCGCCGTAGCCTCCACCCATGCCCATGCCTGCACCACTCATGCTTGAGCCCAGGCCATAGGCAGAGCTGCTGGTGATGCCAGCACCTCCTCCAAAGCCCCTATTGCCTCCTCCGAAGGAACTTTTGACACTGTAGCTCCTCCGGGAAGAGACACTTGGTCCAGCGTAGGAATTACTGCTGAAGCTCCGTGGGCCAGAAGAACTCCTCACAGTGTAACTGGTGGACTTATTATAAGCCGACATTCTGAAATTTGAAGTAGTTTTTTTCTTCTTTCGGATGAAATAAGTCTGGGAAGGTCAGACCGAATGGCTTGGTTGGCAAGGCAGGCAGGCAGGCAGGCCAGCAGAGGGGAGAGACCAGAGTGGATAGAAATGAGAAGAAGCTACTGAGGAGTTTTAAAGCCTGTTGCTGTGGGAGGGGACTGGGGTGAGCTGCCATTGGCTAAAGTTCTGGGTGAGAGAGGGAGGCAGGGCTGTAACATTACACTTCTATGACACATAGTGCAGTCACTCAAAACCATTACCTGGTCGTTCTACAGGCTTCTCTGTGTTGTTAGAGAAAACCTGGTCTTTAGAGAGGATTGTGGAGTAGTTATATTTACTTGCTTGAATCTCTATGCTGTGTGTGTCTCTCCGGGTAAAAGTGTTCAAACAAACCACAGCTTGTAAAATTGGGAGGTCTGGTCAAATTTTAAAAAGAATCAGTTACATGCAGCAGAAGCTATGTATCAGGAAAAACAGCAGTGTGGGTTGGTTAATCCTTGGTTGATAAGAGGTTCAGTAGTTGTTACACATTAATGCTGGTTGACTTTTGTAAATTAAGGTGTGTTTGTAATTCCTGGGTAAGGTCTGTGTAAGTGTGTGTGTGTGTGTAAATGAGAGGAGGGAGGTACTGTTGATTATCATGCGACACTGGATGTGGAGTGTAGAGTGTAATGCATTGGTGTTTAATTAATTATAGAACATTTGGCAATGACATCTATTCTGTCACCACTTTCTTTCCATTAACCAATTTTTCTGTTAGTTTGACTTTATAAAGTGCCCTCTTTGGACAGAAGTGGACACACTTAATTTAGTCCATCATTCAGTGCAGCACAAAAACAGTTACATACATACATACACAATGAAATACACATATCACAAAACACAGCATAAAACCTACAAATTATCGTATACAAAATTAGCAAAAACTGCTATCATGGGAGATGTTGATTAGCAAGCTTTAGAAGAGTTGGTAGGCTTTATGCTAAGTTAAGCTAACCGTTAGCTGGCTGTCATACTTTAGTGGACAGGGGTATTGATCTTCTCACCTTTTTCACAAAAATGTTAAGCTATCACTTTAAACCAGAGCTTTCGAATGCTCATAAATGCTGCATGGAGAAGCATCTGAATGTCATTCACCATACAGCATCATTCCAGGGACTGAAACTCACTGGTACTAAGTACCGGCACTTCAGATTTTTGTCCACATTAGTACCCTTACTTTGGCCGTACCCACCACCAAAAACACCAAAAGAATTAGGGTTAGGGTTATGTTGTGTTTAGCACATCACACCATCAAACTCAGCTGCAAGCATCACTTGAAACAAGTTCTTCTAGTTCTCTTAAAAACAAGATTGGGAGGTCCACCAGCTAACATCCATTTTAAAAACATGGGTATAAACAGTACAAAGCAGTATCCTATAATGAGATATTTTGAGAGGAGAGTTAACAGTTTGGATGGTTTAGGGCTCAAAATTCCTTGGCTGCTGTAGGCAACCTGTATGCCATCCCTAGTCTTGTTCTGAGTATAACAAATACAACATGTGCTGTTCTGTATGCTTGTCTCTGCAAACCAGGTGAACAGCACTGACCAGCTGGCTTTAATTACAGTGGAACAAGAGGTGCCTTAGGTTAATACCATTGAGCCTCAGGCTTTTTTAAAACAATGAACCCAAGTGTCATGGTTTATTTATGTCCAATTTTGTGCTTATATACCTCTACCTGACATGAGTTGTGATGCATTATTATTCTCTATGAACAACTCTACATAATTCATAGCTGATGCTCATTCCTGAGAGAATTACTCACTGTGTAAACATTGTTGATAACAGGGCAACTATTGCCCCTATCATTCCTGCCTATGCCTTTACCATGTTCCTCACCATGCCCAACATGCAGGATGAAACTATGGTGGCTCAACCTTCAACCATCCTTCCACCAATACTGGCCCTGCATTCCTCTCCTCCCTCATTCATTTCTTCCCTCATTCTCTCACCACGATGAGTCATGAGTCTTGGCAATACCGATCCAACCCTTTCCACCATACCCTCTCTCCTCCATCTTCTCTAACCTTCTTCTTTCCCGCCAGTGGCTCTTAGCCTCATTATCATCATGGAAACGTGCGGAAATAACATAGACTCTGGTCTTCTTTCAGCCAAAATGGATGCCAGTGGGGCTTTTGCGAATGCAAGGCACAGAGGGACTGACTCAACCATCCTAAAAAAGAACATGTGGCAATATCAATATGATGTTGAGGATCTGAGTTTGAGCTTTCGCCACATAAGAAAACTTCACTATAAACAGTGCCAAAGGGGAATTTCTGCTTTGCTTTGTGAAATTCACATGACTACAGTGAAATCACACTGATCATATATTATCAGCAGGTTTTGAATCATGTGGGATGTCGATTCAAAACTCTATAAACAAGAACAGATCTTTTTCAGAGTGCTTGGAAGTTAATTGAATTTCAGTAATTCCACCATGAAACATGTTTTGGTTGATCGCATGACTCTCATTATTCTGACTCAAGCTTAACGAGTGTTGACAATCTAATAAAGTTCTGTTGTGCTTTTTGTCGTATCAGCCACTTTTAATCTTGGTCCATATTAAACTGCTAAAATTAAACTTAAATTTGGACTTCCATATATACCATTCTGAAACATTTGACCTATTATATTAATGTATTAATCACTTTTATTGGCAATGAGTGAATGGGTTGTAACGACTTCCCTGGTTGCCCGTGGACTGAATGCATTTCTATGTTGGGAAACTAATTTGGCTGGGAAATTGACTGGTTTGCCGTATGCAGGTTACTTTGTCAATGGATAATATTCAGTGTGGCTGGCTGGCAAACCTTAGCTTCCTTGCCAACAATAAATTATGTAACAGTACAAAGCAAACAATTGCTTTCTACTAGCCAAGAGCGATGCAAAGAAGGGGTATACAACTAGCTAACTGTAGCCCGACCTAAACTGGGGTTGGCTGGCTGCGTGGTGCGGGTCTGTCATTGGTTGCTTCGTAGTGTTGGCTGATGGGGTAATTCGTGAACGGCAAGCATATCATTTAGCCAATAATCCAAATATAATATAGTAACATTATTCTACATTGTAAAACCAGATAATTTCATATAACTCAAAAATTGTTGAAACTGATTACAGTTAAACTAACTACATTTTGTAAGATTAAAAAACATCAAATGGCTTTAGTCATTTTAAGTGAACATTTCTTTGTACATTGAAAACCAGTTAGTGCCACCTAAAATTTAAAGTAAAGGCAGCTTTCTGAAATTTTCTGAACGTTACATATAGATAAAAGTAAAAACTCTTCACTTTTTTACTCCTACTCACAAACAGAACACTCAAATTTAAGAGAGCTCCACAGGTCTGTGGAATTGATTAAGAGAAGATCTTGAACTACTAATTCCTAACTACAGACATAGAGGTGAGCACACACATTGTTTGAGACTGATTGTTTATCAGTCATGATGAGTATGTTATAGACAATATAGGATAATTCAGAGTACCACAGTTTAAGCATATTATTTGCATTTGATTTAAACATTTGGTAGGATGTTACACCTCTCTTTTGCAGGTTCCCTCTTTGTTGTTTTCTTTATGGTACCTTAGCTACGAGCAGAATCTCTTTCCTGATCCAGTTTGTTTTTTATTATTGTTCCCATGTCAGCCAATTCCCTATCATTTAATCTCTTTTTGTCAAATGTACTACAAGGAGTTTGTCTCAGTTTAATACTGTTGCCTCTATATGACCTACCTAAACAAACAAGACGATCAGCAAGAAGATTGGCTCTGTTTATATGTTTCTTAATTCTTGCCACCAGGCTGGATTCGATCTGTCTTATTGACATCTGTGTGGTCTTACTCTGTGCTCGGGAGATAAATGTACATGTGAGATGTCAGTATCAGCATGTATTAGAGTACTAAAGGTGTTAGAGATCATTCAAGCTGTCACAAAACTCCTCACACCAGTAATTTCATGAAGCCTCTGGTTCATCCAGCTTCTTGTTGTGGTAGTGAAACAGACTTCCAGTCACATTTGGACTCTTAACCTGAGTAATAAAATAATTACGTTCAACGATAACAGCATCTCTGTGTCTGTGAAGAGGTGTACTGAGTCTGGAAGTGTCTTATTTGGAATTTAGTTTACTCTGCAAAGGGTGGTATCAGGAGTACGCCTACCATTCATTCCATTCACCTCAATCAGTGGCAACAAGGCTTTCATTAGGACCAGTCACATGCTTGAAGTGATTGTCACCATCTGTCACTGCAACATTAACATACTGAGGGTGATACTGTATCTGCAGGTAATCACTAGCTGATATTTCTTGTTTGGGCTGAGCGGTTGTAAGCAGGAATTTATAACAGGATAAATGTGTGTGAACAGAGATGGACCTTTACACTCTGTGTGCTGCAACACTCTATAAACATTCAGGGGACCTATCACCATCAGCTGTCACAAGGCGTGTCTGAGTGTGTTAAAGCTGCTGTAATGTGTGTGTGTGGGCAGGCAGTCACTGAGGGTGGGTGTTGATGGGTGCAACTCATCTCATCTCCATCAGCTCCACTCAGCCATAAAAGACACACAGGGTGAAGTAATGTTTCTTGTGTTAATTGTCACACAAAATGTGTCGAACTCATAAGATTTACAGGGTGAACCCGTCATGACCATCTCCCCTAGAAAGTGTTATTATCATGTGATTTCAGTAATCACTTTGGTCATCACTAGATTTGATGTTTTTGTAACTGGGTGATTTTGCTGTAGTTTTACCGCACAGTCTCTTTAGCTAACAATACCTTCAAGCTGCAGCCCTTCCTGTCAGGATACAGTCATGCACACAGAATAACCCTTTTTGTTTTAAGGCCCCATTGTGACACAATTGAACCTTCTACCATTAAGTAATGGAAGATGACCCTCCCTCTCACACTGCACAAGCCTGTTTTACCTCTCTTTCCTTTTTAACAAAGGTTCTGTGGGTTTTTCTGGATAAATATTATAGAATACAAAACAGCTCCTGGAAGTAATGCAAATGATTGAAATGGTAAATATATACTTTTTGTCACATATTTAACACGTTTGAAAGGTTGAGAAATTACAATTAAAAGGTA